AAAGATGAGGCAGTCTTGCTTCTATAAAGATTTACAGCCTTAGAAAAACCTAATGGGAGTCCCTATAAGTCTGAAATGAATTTATGGCAGTGGGTTTTTTTTTCTCACTTTGTCAGTCACCATTTCTGGCTGTGGCTCCTTTGTCCACCACTCCCAGCTCTTCTCCCAGACACCTAGTTCTGAGTTCTTCATAAGATGATAAAGTCATCTCATCTCTTCTATTATTTTTACCTGATACATCCCAACCCCAGATTGGGCAATCTACTTCCATAGAGAAACCGCCTCAGAAACCCAAGGTTGGGTTGCTATGAGACAGAAATGACTCGAAGACAGTGAATTTTTAAAAATTTTTTTACATCCCACTTGAGATATAAAAAATTATAAGCTTTTTTTTTTTTTTTTTTTTGGTATTTCTACCTTCTAGACTTAAACGAAGAATTGGTTTTGGACAAAATAAAGACTGAGAGTTTTGCTACTGTTTGGCACTATTAGGCCTAGCCCTCACTAGAAAGCAAAATGCAAGTTTTTCATATGACCCTCACTGCGTCTTCCCCAACCTTCTTGTGTATCCTGAATCTTTCCGTCTTAAGCTGTGTTCACTGCCTGTCCATTTAGCTTCAGGCCCAAACACTGTGGCAGGTGCAGATAGGCTGACAGCCACAAGGAAGTGCTGAACAACGGATGATATGCTTCCATCCTAGAATTCTCCTGGAGATCTTTTTTTTTTTTTCCAAATAAAATTTTATTTTGGCAAACTACATATAAAATTTGCCATTTTTATCATTTTTAAATGGAAATTTAGTGGCATTAATCACATTCACAATGTTGTGCAGCCATCACCACCAACTGTTCCCAAAATTTTTCCACCTCGCCAAACAGAATTCGGTACCCCTTAAACAATAACTCCCTATTCCTCCCTTCCCCCAGCCTGTGGTAACCTGTAACCTACTTTGGTATGCACTGCCTATTCTAGGTATTTCACGTAAATGGGATCACATGATATTTGTCCTTCCGTGTCCGATTTATATCATTTAGCATGTTTTCAAGGTTTACCCTTACTGTAGCTGGTATCAGAACTTTATTGCTGTAGTATCAGTACCAGTTGATTCCGACTTATGGCAGTTCCATGTGTGTCACAGTAGAAGTGCACGGCATAGCATTTTCAGTGGCTGATTTGTCAGAAGTAGATTGCCAGGCCTTCCTTCAGAGGTTCCTCTGGGTGGACTTGAACCTCCAACATTGTGATTAGCAGCTGTGGTGGTTATGTTTGTGTGTCAACTTGGCTGGGCCTGGTGGAGTGGCTGGGCAGCTGGTGGTAGTTATTCCCCATGATGAGACCGGCAATCAGTTCCATGGTGGGATCTACCTACCACAAGCGGCTGAGTAGCTGCCTTTGGGATATGGTCTGCTTTCTGTATTTAAGGAGAAGACTTGGGAATGGTCTCTAGCCTATGGCACGCCTGGACCCTGAATGTAGCCGTGTCGCTGCTCAGCAGCCTACTATGCTCTGCCGGCCTTCGGACTTACAATGGACTTAAGTTAATGGCCTGCCGTGTGGTTTGGTAACATCGGCCTTTTTACTTGTCCACCTTGGGGCTTCTCAGCCTCAGCAGCCAGCAGCTGTCTGAGTGAAGAAACACCTCTAGCTCCAGTGGGCCGGGAGCAGGAGGCAGAGCTGGGCCCCAAGGTTGAGGGGCTTTCACCCAACCCCTAGAGCATGGCACTTTGAACTTGGGCTTAAAGCCTTCAAACTGTAAGAATAAACTCCCATTTGTTAAGGCCATCCCATTTGTGGTATATTCTTGTCAGAGCGACACTAGGTAACCAGAACAGCAGCCAGCACATTGTTTATACCACTCAACAACTGCTGATTTCTCATTAAGACTGAGTAATATCCCATTGTATATATCACATTTTGTTTCTCCATTCACCTGCTGATAGACACTTAGGTAATTTCTTCCTTTTGGCTATTGTGAATAATGTTGCAGTTAACACTAGCATTCAAGTATCTGTTTGAATCGCTGCTTTCATGTCTTTTGGGTACACATCCAGGAGTGGAATTGCTGAGTCATATGATAATTTCATGTTCAACATTTTGAGGAACTGCCACCTGGAGACTTCTTGCTCATACTTCCCAACTAGGCTTCTCCATTACTTCCTCCGGGAAGCCTTCCTTTTGTTTTCTTTACCCTGTTGTTGTTGTTTGCCATCACATCTGATCCAACTCATAGCGACCCCTCCTTGGGTTTCCAAGGTGCTATCACTATGGAAGTAGGTTGCTCAACCTTCCTTCTGAGGAGTGGCTAGTGGGTTTGAACCACCAGCCTTCTTGTTAGCAGTCAATTGCCTTAGGCACTACGCCACCACCATTAAGGAGCTCTGCTGGTGCAGTGCCTAAGGCATCTGATTGCTAAGCAGGAGGTTTGTGGTTCAAACCCATCAGCTACTCTGCAGAAGGAAGATGGGGTAATCTACTTCCATGAAGATTTACCACCTTGGAAATCCAGTGGGGGTCGCTATGAGTCAGAATCAACTCAATGGCAGTGGGTTGGGTTTGGAGCCTTCCACTAAGCATGTAGTGACTGGTTTTTGGATGTATGTTTCCCAGCTAGTCTACAAACTCCTAGAGATTGTGTCTTAATCATTTTTGCATATCTGTGCTTACCACAGATCTCAGCATATTATCTGGACTAAATTAATTCTGCAGTTACCTTTAAAATGTAGGCAATTCCCTAAAGACAGAGTGATTCTGCCATAATGAGAGAGGCTTTGCTGGTGTTATTAGGTAACTGAGGCAAACAGGAAAGTTGTGAGGAAGGGCTGAGGATCCTTGGTTCAGGGGTGCTGCATTTCCTAAGTAAGTGACTCTTCTTCTTGCCATTTAGTAAGGTTATGAATTAGATCGTGTCTCCTAAAAATTTATGTTGAATTCCCTGGTGCCTGTGAACTTGACCTGGTTTGGAAATAGGGTCTTTGAAGATGTTATCAGTTAATATGAGATACAATAAGATAGGAGCCCTGGTGGTGTAGTGCCTAAGGCATCTGACTGCTAACCATGAGGTTGGTAGTTCAAACCCACCAGCTGCTCCGCAGAAGGAAGATGGGACAATCTACTTCTGTAAAGATTTACCGTCTTGGAAACACAAGGGGGCTCACTATGAGGCAGAAAGGACTCAATGGCAGTGAGTTTTTGTTTTTTTTTTTAATCCAATCTGACTGTGTCCTTATAAAAGAGAAGAAACACAGAGAGATGTGATAGGAATATGGCCCTGCTGACACCAAATTCAGACTACAAGCTTGCAGAACCAAGACAGTAAATTTCAACTCTTACCAGAAACACCCAATTTGTGGTATTTTGTTATGGTAGCCCTAGGAATCTAATACAAATAGTAAACTATCCTGATGTTGGAGCAGGAAAAGGAAAGAAGCTTATCAAGAATAATATCAATATTCACAGGTAAATCATTAGCTTCTGACCAGGGTCAAAACATCTTAATGTCTTTCAGCTGTGTTCTTTCAGTGTGAGGCCTGGATGCCTAGCCTGTCCTCCTCCACCCCTCCACTCCCAGCTTCTTCAAGCAGCAAAGAAGCAGAGGGGGGCATCTACCCAACACCAGGTTCCCCAGGCAAGGACACAACTCATGGGGACTTTCCAAGGAAGATGCTGAGGCTCCAACAATGCTGGGATCCTTGAACTCAAACTCCTAACATAAGTGTTGCTTTGAGGATGATATGATTAACATGGGGCAGGGCTACTTTTATTTCCAAAGCTGGCTTCTCTAAGACACACCTTCTTTTGGACCCCATTTACAGTTTCTCCCTTTACTTTTCAATTCAATTAAACAAACATTTACTGAACTTATCAGGGGCAAGGAATCATGAGATACTTGGGAAGTTTAAAGATGAAAAAGGATGACTCTATGGGGTCACTATGAGTGAGAATCAATTTAACGGCAATGGGTTTGGGTTTGGTCTAAAGGAAAGCAGCATGTTTTAAATAGCAGGAAGCCTGAGATAAAAATCCTAATCATGTTGTTGTTGTTGTTGTTACGTGCCATCGAGTCAGACGTGACTCACAGCTACCCCTCCTTGGGTTTCCCAGACAGTATCACTACGGAAGTAGATTGCCCAACCTTCCTTCCAAGGAGTGGCTGATGGGTTTGAACTGCCAGCCTTCTGGTTAGCAGTCAAGTGCCTCAGGCACTATGCTACCAGAGCTCCTCCTAATCATGCTATATAGATAAAATTGAATTCAATAAACATGTTGAACACTTACTATGAAGAGGGGGCTGTGGTATGTGCTGGAGTTCAAGAGGTGAGGACAACTGCAGACCTCAAAGAACTTCCTCTCTAGAAGAAAGGACCCTCCTAGAACAAACCTGAGACACCAAGTAGGATCATTTTATCTTCCTTCTATCATCACTCCAAATGCAGCCCCCAGAGATCCACAAGGATTAACATAATGAGAGTGGTGGCTCCTGGCCCAGGGGCGTGTCCCTAGACCTGTCAGTGCCATCTCTCCAGGCAGGGGTGGCTCTCCTAGTGGGAGTTCCTCAGTCACACCAGAGAATTCATCTGGCAGAAAGGTCCTACACCCTTCTGGGAGAAGAGGTGGCTCTAGTGGGTCTGGTGGGGAAGGGTGCTTTGCATCAGTAGCCTAAATGGAGAGGGCTGGGAGATCCCACAGGGAGGAGGCTTGGGCATGCATGGATGGAGCGGGCTGGGGTGCATCTGGATAGAGAATCTCGGGTGCGCCTAGATGGAGATAGCTGGGAAAGTCTGGATAAAGGGGACTGGGGTGTGCCTGGATAGAGGGGGCTGGGAACACCTGAATGGACCGGGCTGGAGTGCGTCCGGATGGAGAATCTGGGGTGCTTTTGGCTGGAGAAGTCTGTGGCATTACTGGTTGGAAGGGGCTACGGTCCTTGGCGCGGAGCCTTGTGCCCCATGGCTGAGGGCGAACGGTCCGCGCCCCACCCTCGGCCGGCCCGGCCACCCACCTGGGCACGCCCTGGCGTAGTCGAAGCAGCAGTCCCCGGTTAGGCGGCAGGCTTGGTCGCAGAAACACGTCCCGTAGACCCTGTCCAGCCTCCAGCCGCGGGCGAAGCAGGCGGGGTCCCTGCCCGGGCAGCAACGCCCGGCCTCGGTGCAGCCGGCCAGGGTCCCGGGCCACAGCCGCGACAGCGCGCACAGAGCTAGCCACAGAGTTTTCATGGCGAGTGCTCCCGCGGCGCCTGCGACGCAACGGACCCTGGGGGGAAGTGCTCCGCACCTCCGAGAGCGGGCGGCCCCCGAGTTGCCCTAGAGGCTGGTGAGGCGCAGCCCGGCCCTGCCGCGCACCCAGGCCCCCGCCCTCCCGGCCCAGCCCCTCCCCAGCCCTGGCAGCACGCCCGTGGGGGCTTAGGGAGGGTGAGGTGTGGCTGCCCCTATCCAAGTGGGGAGCGTGCTTCTCCCCGGACCGCAATCTTGCCGGGACTCTCCCTGCACCCTTCAGCCCTCCGGGCAACAGTCCCTTCCCAGTTACGAGCTTGCCCAGGCCCCGTAGGAGCCCCAAACACCCCCACCCCGCGGGAACCGCCCGGAGAGCGGAAAAAACAGGTGCACTCGGGTCCCAGCGGCAGTGCCCTGCCAGGGCGGGCGCATTTCCTGGCTCCAATTCCTAACGCCTGGCGGCAAGTTAACAAAAGGGTATTTTCACTATAAAGCCAGGAGAGACGAATAGGGCTTGATATGCACCAAAAGTTCTATCACCAGCATAATGCGTGCGGTTCACCCCGAATTTCGCCGAGGAGAACCTACACTGCATTTTTGCCAGCACACCAGCTCGCCAACCCTCAGAGTCAGCGGGCCACTGAGGCTCCAGAGAGGGAAGGAGATAAGACCCAGGAGGCATTTTTTTTTATTTTCTGCATTCTATAATGGTGTTTTCCTACTCCACGGAAATGCCGCTTTGCTTTATTTACTAAATAGGCGATTAAGAATGCGCAGGAAAGGATCGATAAAATATAAACGGTGAGCTTTGCTTTCCGTTAAAGCCAATTTCCCCAAAGAAGCTCTCTTTAATGATAATTTAGAAATATCATCCACTTTAATGAAGTGCTTGCCTAAATTTTCACATACATTTTCTTCTCCTTTTCGTTCCAAGTATCTTTTCTGCACACCACTCTTTTTGTTAATCAAAAATTATCCTGGAAATGTCATTATATTGTATGTTACGAAATCATTTAAACTTTTGTGAATTTTGCGACAAACTAAGAGTAGAAAGTTTTCTGCATCTGTGAGCCTGAGAAGATAACTTAATTTCAGAGACTAATTTTCTTGTTTCTCATACAAGGACTTCTCATAAAGGAATTTCCTTTACGTTTCAGAGAGAAAAGTAACAAGGCTGTAAATCAACAATGACAAATATAAAAAATAAACTATCAAAAAGTTGTCACATGAAAAATTTAAGGTTATCAGAATTATATCTGATAAACTCTAACCAGAGATAAAGTTTGACCAGTGTAGAATGTAATCTTATTTCATTGCACAAGGAAAATCACTCAAAAATCAAAAAGAAATTCTTTCACTATGACTTCACACGAATAAATTCTGAGGGTTAATATATATATGATGTTGTTGTTGTTGTTGTTATGTGCCGTCG